TCGAACCTGCGCTGCGGAGGCTGCGGGCAGCTTCACAGCGCGGCGCTCAACTGCCTGCGCCACCAGGGGAGGCCCCTTCATTTTTTAATTAATTAATTTTTTATTTTATATATTTCACATCATTCTTCCTTTTCGCACCGGGCATGCTTTCCCCTCCCAGGGGTCTAGTCCCCGGACAGCTCCCGCCACCCACGCACCCCTGCACACCACCATAGTCCCCTGTGCTCTTCCCGCCCTGTTTTGACCCCTCTCCCTGCCCCGAGATCCTTGATTTAATCACATCTTCCAAGTCCCTTTGCCATTTAAGGTGACGCGGCCACAGTCCTGGGATTAGGGCGTGGGCATCTCTGGGGGGGAGGGCGGATGTGGGGGTGGGGGATGCAGGGTTCCAGGCCACGGAGTCGTCTTGGCGGGAGCCCACCGTGTCAAGGGCGGGCAGGGGGGCTGAGACTGTCTCTCAGCTTGACCCCAGGCGGGTTTGCTCCCTGAGGAGCGCGCTGCGTCCTTTTTCCTACTGACAGTTGCCAGTTGGGCACGCGCGACGCCCCCTCCCCCCGCCCCCGTGTGCTCCCTTTATTGCTTCCGGTTCCTTGTGGATTTAACCACTTCTCCCTTTCTGGACACCCCAGGCCTCGGCTGGTGACCCGTGGCCCACCCCGTCTCTCCAGCGCGGGCCAGGGTCGTGCGGGTGCCGTCTGGAGCTGGCGCCTGGCGTCATGCCCCCTGGCGCTGGGCTCCCTCCTGCTCCTCCAGGCCAGCTCCTCCCGCTGCACCGCCACAGCCTCCTGGGACGTGGCTTTGGTGTTAATTGCATCACTCACACTTTCTGGCCTTCGGCGGGATGACTGACGTAGAACCCGCCTTCTCTGACTCCCGGCGTGACTAGCTTCAGGGACAACGCGGGGTGCAGGGGGGGGCACGTGGCCCAGGCCCAGCTGATCAGAGACCCCACTTTCCAGCTACTGCCACGCCGCCAGTGTCTGGGATTCGCTCTGCGGGAGGGAGGGGGTCTCTTTTCACTGTGGGTCATGAAGCAGCCAGCAGCGGTGGGCGCCAGCGACCAGGCCAGCGCGTCTGCGGAAGTGTGAGGCGCTTGTGGGCAGCAAAGCCCAGAGGACAGTTCTCCGCGCTCAGCCTCGCTGGGCCTGGCCGTGCCTGTCGCGTGGACGGTGAAATTACGAGGGCCAAGAAATACCCTGGCTGCTTAGGTTGGGCTTCTGCCGCTTGCCTTTGAGTCATGGGGGTGCGTGACGGGCCCAGAGCATCAGCAGGTAGAGGGTCCCCCTTTGAAGAGCTGCCCCCTCCCACCCCAGAGTCAACTTTGGGGAGGGTCCTGGCCCAGGCAGCCCCAGCCCTCGGGAGCCGGCCAGGTGCGGCTGGGTCGCTGAGGCCGGGTCGCTGAGGCCTGGCTGAGGCTGTGATAACGGGGCCTGGGTCCGGGAAGCCCCGGGGAGGTGCTGAGTGGACGCAGCTGGGCAGTAACCCCAGGTGCAAAGGCGTGTCCTGGCTTCCCCGCCCCCAGCTCGTAAGCATCAGGCCCTGCCCAGCAGCCGGCCCTGATCAGAGTTACCTGCGCTGGGAGGGCAGCGTGAGGTCAAGCAGAGCAGGACCCAGGACGCGAGCCCCTGTTGGAGGGAGAAGCCGCCTGTCCTTCCGTCACTCAGACCCAGGGCTGCTTGGCATGAGGTGGGCACCCAGCGGGGGCACCTGCATGTGAGTGGGTGGCCTTGGCGCATGTGTGTGAGACCCCTGAACCTGGGAGCTGTGAGGGTGGGCCCTGGATGTGCAAGTGTGTGTGAAAGCACAGGTGGTGCAGCCGAGGGGCTCCAGGGACTCGGGGTGAGAGCCCCCAGGTGTGTGTGTGTGGTGGGCATGGCTGGTGGGAGCCGCAGGTGTGTGAGGGGCTGTGCTGGGCAGCTGGGTTTTGTTGCAAGCGCCCCCCCCCCATGATTGTTGCTGCCCCCGGGTGTGGGTGCCGCCCGGAGGCCTCAGAGGCACTGCGTCCAGCACGCCGCTCAGGGGCAGCCCACGCCGACTATCTTGGCATCCAGAGACTCTGCCATGTGAAGACTCTGCAGCCAGCAGTGCCCGCTCAGCTTACTCCCTCTCTGGGGCAGGGATGAACTCTGAAGGGCAGCTGCAAACAGCGATGGCTGATAGTCCACGGGCTGGTGACGTCGCCCCTGCCTGTCCAGGCGCGCAGGCTGAGGCCCCGCTCAGCTGGGGTGGCAGCGCCTGCCCGAGGGCACCCTGTGTGGGCTTCCTCCCCCCATCTCCCTGCCCTCTCCCTACGGTGGCCCCTGCACCCACATCCTGCCCAGGGGACTAGACCTGTCCCCCATTCCTGCTTTCTCATGGGTGTGGTGTCACCGCTATCTCTTTGGGGGCCTGCTGGCCGGGGTGGGGGTGGGGGTTGCAGCTGGTTTGGGTTTGGGTCAGCGCATGGCTGGTCACTATCGCTTTGAAGGCTGCTGCCTTCATTCCTGGAGGGAGGGACCCCAGGACACACAGGTCATAATCGAGCCCCACACAGAAGTGCTCAGAGGGACGGGGGGGATTATTCTGCGTGCAGAGGTGCAGGTATGACACTGAGGCGCTCACGGCAGAGGTGATTCCTGAATGCGGACTAACTGAACGGGTTAAACCGCGTGGAACACCCACATACCAAGGGTGACGACAATCCCAGGACCCAAATGGCAATTCCTGTGTAGGGGCACCCGTGGGGAGTGGGCTGGAGGTGGGAGTAACGCCGGGGCTCCAACTCCAGGGGTCAACGCCTCGCTGTGCGCAGTGGCGGCTGGTGGCCAGCAGGTGGCAGTGTGGGCTTGGCGTGGGGCCGTGGGCGCAGGAACCCTCCGGACCTGGCACTGGGCTGGCCCTCTCAGGACGGCGCCCACCGCAGGCTAGGTGCCCCCCGCTGAGGTCTAGGGGGAGAGAGGGGCAGTGAGGAGGGGAGCCAGCTCGTGTCAGCTCAGGGATCAACGTGCAAAGCTGAGCTTTTCTGAAAAGCACTGGAAAGTAGGGGATTTCTCCAGGGGACAAAAGAGCTCGCTTCAGTCTAATGGCACAGCTCCCCGCTTCCCGGGGGGCAGTCATCAGCCCTGCCTGCCGCTGAGGCACGGCGGCAGCCCCAGGTCCCGGAGGTTATGGCCGTCTCGGTGACCCGCCCTGCTCAGATCTCAGAGAAACGATACCTGTTTCACGAGGTTAAAAATAAGTAACTCGCGAGCACTGAACACCCCCAAATCCCTGTCGGCTGGAAGACCACGACAGGCTGCGGGGTCTTTCCATCTTCAGAGCAGCACCGACTCCTGCTTTCAGAGTCTGCCCTCTGCTTTTCCTCCATCTTCCAGATGACACCTCTGGGGCCCACAGACTTGTGACAACGCTGTTTCTTGCAACATATTTATTGATAGGATATATATTTATTTGTAACACAGAAAAGATACATTGTTGCTTATTTAGCGCCTAGTCCAGGAACAAGAAAAGCTGCTTAGCGCCAGTCACTGAGACACTGACAAGGAAGCAGGGATGGTTACCTTCCCCCCACTACTGTCCACAGCTGCAGGTGCGGTTCTGCAAAGGCTCATTCCTGGAATGCATTAAAGGCTATACAGTACAACAGACAGATATTTTTTGCCTAGAAAACAGTACACCACAAAGGTGGACAGAACTGCTTGTAAACACGGTCCCTTCCTCGGTGGGGCCGGGGCGCTAAGACCCCACCAGACCTCTGGACGGAGCCCTTTCAGTTCTGCACCAGAAGAAATTCTATTTCTACAGAAAATAAAATTCACAATTGCCATCTTTGCCGCCCCTCTTATTAAGACAGGGATTGCTGAAATGTCATAGCCCTTCATTGGAGGAATTGAAATGTGGGGGAGAGGATGCCCGGGGGATGCTGTTGTTGGGGGGCAGGGCGGACGTGAGGACTCCGCTCCCTGCCTCTGGCAGGCGGGTCCTTCGGGAATTGGACCCATCACCTGCACGGTTTCAGATGGAAATTCTGGGGTTCACGGAGGGCTGAGCCTCCCTACAGCCAGGTAACGCCACAACTCCCCCTCTGTGGCGCGGCTGAGAGGCGTCAGCTGGTCCTCTTGCAGTGGCATGGTGGGGCTCGCACCTCCTTTGTCTCGCAAATACCCCCAGGGCAGGGACAGAACCTCAGGTCCCAGTTCCCAACTCTGTGCTGCCCCCCAGGAGGACAGCACCGGCTTCTGGGTTCTGACTCCAGCCAGCTCAGCTCAGGCCAAGGTGGTCTACTGGGCACACGCTTAACAAGGCCTCAGCTGTGCCCGGGCGCCCTCACTGCCTTGAAGCCCTTCAGTCCCTGGACAGACCTGGGGACACCTGTGACCCACCGCTACCGCCACCACACCGCAGGCCCACCTGTGGCTTGGGGTGGGGGCCTCTGAGATAACTCCGCTAGCACCACCAGACTGAGAGCACTGGGGGGGGGGGGAGGCTGTGAGGCCCAGGCGGCGCCTGAGCCCCCAGACCCGTGTCCCTCTCCGAAAGTGGCAGGGCGGTGATGTTGTAGCTCTTCTGCCCTGCAGGGGGCGCAGCGCAGGGCTGCAGGAGGCCCCCCCTGGGGTGGGGGGTGGGGGGCGGCTGCCCTGGGATGCTCGAGCAGTTTCTGGAGGCAGAATCAGAGTGTGGTGAGGGCTGAGGGCGGGGACCCACAGCCCGGGAGAAGGAAGAGCCAGCCCAAGTTCCTTCCCCCCCTCCCCCGGCGCCGCCCGCAGAGTGTGACCCACAGGCCGGGGGAGCCCGGAGCGCCGCGCTGTGATGGAACCTTGCAGAGGGGTTTGTATGGGGTGGGCCTGGGCGTGCACGCTCGTCCACACGTGTGGGGCACGTCTGGGCGCGTGTGCACACGGGGGAGTGGTGTGTGTCGGGTGTGAGTGTATGTGTATGAGTCGAGTGTGCGTGTGTGTGCACACCCGTGTGCCCGAAGGAGGTGGCCCAGCCCCGAGGGCCGGGCAGGGCCTGGCTGGGGCTCACGCCATCCTCTCCAGGCCAGAGATGGGGGCCCGGGTGGGGACGGGTGAGCCCTGGCCGCTCCTGGGCCCCGGTCCTGGCAGCGGCAGCCGGCCCGCCGGGGGGCCGGCCCCACACACAGCCTCATAAGGGGGAAGGGTGTCCATGGAGATGGTGCGGAGACCACTGTGGCCCTGGATCCTCCGCACCTGCTGGTATCGTCCGGGACTGTAGCCGCCGCCCGCATCTGGGTCGCCATCCAGAGAGGGGTAGGAGCCGGTCAGCGAGTAGGGTGGGGGCGCATCAGTGGGGATGTAGAGCTGCGTGGCCCCGGGCCCCATGCACTCCTCATAGCTATAAGAGAAGAGGCTCCCTCAGGGCGCTGTGGACCTTGGCCTTAGGGGTGCACATGGGGGCATCTCCCCACGGGTGGAGGCCTGTCTGCTGTGACAAGCTGCCCTGGTATGGGCTGGCCCTGGTGAAATCCCTCCTCCCCCCAGGGCCTGGATTCTGGTCCCAAGTTGCCCCAGTGTCCACTGTGACCACGAGTGAGCAAGTCGCTGGACTCTGGGTCTCATGTGGCTCAAGACGGCAGCCGTGGCAGTAGACGGGTCCCCCCCAGCCGGGCACCAAGCCCACGCGGTACTGGCAGCAGCGACCTCAGGTTGCCAGATACCCCTCGGTCCAAAGGAGTCCCCGGAGCCCCTCTAAACACACAGACAATGAGTAGAGGCCTCCTGTGCCCCCGGGGGACAGTGGACTGCACTGGCCCTTCCAGCGTCCGGGGACAAGGTGATGGAGAGGACAGGGCTGCTTGCCAGGCCCGAGGGCCTGCTGGTGGAGAAGTGCTGAGTGCTCTGCACGAGGGTAGCTGGCAGGAGAGGACCTGTGGGCGCCCCGGAGAAGAGCTTCCCCACGAGGCAGGGCTTCCTGATGCACCTGAGTGCAACCGGGACGCAATAACTCCTGTGCCAGTGGGTGTGATTTGGCTTTGGGGTGCATATTACTGAGCTGGGACCTGGACCCTCCACCCCAAGAGCAGGACTGAATATCCAGCAGACCCCCTCTCTGACCCTCTCTGTCTGCTGCCACTGTCCCCGGAACCTCAGAAGCAGCCCCTTCATTGAGGACACCGGCCCCATCCCTAAGGCACGTGTACCTTGGTCGCTGCAGTCAAGGCCACCAAGATCCCAGACCGTGGTGCGCATGCGCGGCAGCCTGCCTTCCCAGCCGTGTCCTCCCGGCCCCTGCCCTGCTGCCTGCCCCCACCGTGCCCCGCTGCCTGCCCCACTCTGTCCAGGTCCCAACCCCAGCCAGTTGGCTGGTGCCCAGCTTTGATGGGGGCGCTCAGCCGGGGCACCCCAACACCCCTGTTGTCTGCAGGCACATTCCTTGGGGAGGAGCTGCTCCCTGGGGTGAGTGGGTCAGGTCACCTGAGCTCAGAGCCATGGCCTCAGAAGCTACGGCCAGGCTTTGCTAGTGACCTGCCAACATGGTGGACGGTGCGCTGGCCCAGGGTGATACAAGAAAGCACTTCCAGAGCAGGTGCCCCGGGCCCACAGATCCCGGCGTCGGGGCTCACTGCCCCTTGCCACCCTGCACGTGGGCTCTTCTTCCCTAGGAGGAGGTGGGTCCCCTGGCCCATCTGGTCCAACTCCCCAGGAGGATCAGAAAACCCCACAGACCTCAAGACTGCTCCCCTGGCGCACCCCCAAAGTGCCATCTCCTCGGAACCCCTGCAACATCAGCCTGAAGGGGCTGAGCCTGCCCTTCCTTTCCCGGGGTCTCGTGGCTGACGTCTGCTGGGCCGTACCCCCCACCCCACCGTGCTGCTCTAGCGGGGTGAGGAAAGGCCGAGCCCACTGAGCGGGTGTCTGCAGGCTCCTCCCTAGGGGAGGTGCTGCTCTTTCCCCGGGGAGGACACGGTGCTCCGACCCTGCCCTCCCGTGCCCGCCTCCCCACGTGGCCTCTTACCCTGGAGGAGAATCTGGGTACAGCTCCTGGAGCACCGTGGCGTCCACATCCCCTTCGGAGCTGAGGTCCGGGGCGGGGGGCCAGTCCTCGGCGGCGCTGCAGGCGTAGCGCATCCTGCGGCTCGAGCGGCTGTAAGTGTGCCCGTCGGACACTGCGGGGGACGGACGCTCAGCCTGGGCCTGGCCAGCGGCCAGGCAGAGTCCTCATGCGGCCACCCATGGGGCACAACTCCTCCACTTTCACAGAGGCTCGTGACTTACAGGAGGCCACACAGCAAGGCATTGCCAGGGCCGGGGGCTCCTCTGCCTGGAATTCCACCCCCAGGCCCTGGTGGGCCTCCCAGCAGCCGGGGCACAGCTGAGACGGCAGATCTCCCCACCACTGAGCTCAGGGCTCCTCCCCAGGGTCAGGGCTCAGCGTCAGGGGGGCGCGTCGGGCCAGGGTGGGGTGAGTCTACATCCGGGTTCTACAGCCCTGACCCCTGCGCCTGGTGAAGTGTGCATGGGAGTCCCTGCGCGGTGTCTGCAGTGCCAACGCCTGCTCTTCACCCCCCTAACCGCCTCGTCCCGCTCTTGACACAGCGGGCAGTGGCAACGCCCGAGTACGGGACTGGGGGTTTCGTCCCGGGGTTGCAGCTGCCGACGAGGAGAAAGCTCGCAGAAGATCCCGAACGCCTCAGCGTCTCTGGATGCTGGGCCCACGACCCTATTTTCTTCTATATATTTTCTGTATTTGTAAGGTTTTCCACAGGGAACACATACTACTTTTCTCCTAAGAAGGAGGAACCCAGTAACATGCGGTAGAGGGGAGCTGAGCTGAGATTTGTTTTCCCTCAGGGCACCCCTGAAGGTTGGTTTGCAGGACGCGCTGGGAAGAACCGGGAGGATGGAAGCACTGTGATGAGGAAGCCCTGAGGTAAGGGGAGCAGGTGGGGCTGCTGGGGTCGAGCCCCTGCCAGCGTGGCCAGGGGAGGGTTGTACTGCCCTGCAGGAGGCTGAGGCGCCAAACTTCGGAAGCTTCACAAAGGCTGGTTCCAGGACCCGTGGCTGGCTCCAGGGGGCAGGCCTGAGAGCCGACCGGGCGGGACCACGCTGCTGCCCCGTCTCTTGGGGTTGCTTTTCTTGCTTCTCCCAGCAGCCGAGCACTTAGGGAAAGCGGGGCTGCCCTTGGGGCTCACTCATGTTGCTCAGACCCTCATCTGGACAAGTCCAAGGTCAGTCCCAGCTGTCCGGCTGGGCTGAGCTCCCGAGGAACCGCGGGCTCGAAGCCCCTGTTTCTGCAGTTGGGCTAACTCCGTCCTGACCCCCTCTCCTTGCTGCTTCCCTGCGGGCGCAGGCCTGCAGCGCCGCCCTCGGGAGGCCTCCTCCCGCCTTCACGGAGGGTGCACGCTCTCGAGCTCCTTTGCCCAAATTAAGAAATACCTTAGCTCAGCTTTTAGCCCAAATCCAAGGTTAATGTCCCTTGACTGGCACCTACTTGCTCCACCCTCATCATCTGATTCACCCTCATAACTGGGGACGGAATCTGTGGGGCCCCTGGCCTCGCACGAAGCTCCTGAGAGCTGAAATCCCCCCAGCAAGTGAGAGGAGACCAGATCCGTCTTCTAAAGCGCAGGATCTTTTCATCCTGCGGGAACAGGATCCCATCCATGCCCTCGGCCGCCCACTCGCTCACTCCCTCTCTCCCTCTCCCTCTGGGCCTGGCTAGATGGCAGAGGGTCCTGTGGGCAGGCCCCAGAGAGTCCACTCTGTCCTGAGGGCAGTGGGGAGCACCGAGGGATGCTGAGCAAGGGGGGGAAGTGCTCACGGTGCAGTCGCTTTGGCTCCCACACGGAGATGCCTCGGGAGGGACAGGCTGCGGCGGCTGGCAGGGAGGGCAGCTGGCATTTGTGGGGTGGCCCAGGAGCAGCAGGGTTTATTGGGGGAGCGCGGTGGAGACGGTCATGAAAATAGTTGATTTTATTGAGCATTTACTCTTTAGCTAGGTACTGTGCAAATCTAGTCCTCACTCTAACTTCTGGGGGGGCCCTATGTACCCCATTGTGTCGATGACTCCCTTGAGGTATGAAGAGGGTAAGCAACTCCCCTGAGCTCCTACAAGAAGAAGTGGAAGGCTCAGGCTACTCTGGACACCCTGGGCCTGAGGTGCTTGTGGCCCCGGCGGGCAGCTGTTTAGGGGCCATCTGGACGCAGAGGGGAGGGGAGGGGAGGGCAGGAAGGGGCTGCTGGCTGGTGTGCGACGCTTCCAGCGAAGAGGTGGAGCAGGAGTGGGTGTAGAGAGAGGACCCAGGACCCAGGGTGGGGCTCTGAGAGAGGACATTCCGCCCCTCTGAGAGCAGCAACAGACACGCAGGCCATGCCCTTCCTCTGACCTTCCGCCACACTGCACGCAGGCAACTGGGCCTCTCATGCCACCGAGAACATTCTAGTGCGCACCTGTGAGCTCTGTCTGATCACCCAGGCTCTCTAGGAGGCCTTCCCCGGACCTCCCGCACCCCCCCTGGCAGGCTGCAGCCTCCCTGCCACCTTCCGGTGGAGCTGCAGTCGGGGGAGGTCCCCCCGCGGGGCGGGCAGCGGCTCACCGTAGTCATGCTCGTACTCCTCGGGGTGGCGCTGGTGATGGTGGTGCCGGCGGCGGTGGCGGTGGCGCTGGAGCCGGGCCTGCCGGTCCCGGCGGATGCTGCCCACGATGATGGTGATGCAGGAGAGGATGATGACCACGCCGACGGCGGCGCTAGCCACCAGCACTGGAGACACGAGCAAATGGCTGTGCTCTTGGCTCTCCGAGAACGTCGGGTAGAAGTAGGTTGTACGGTTGTATCGAGCTATGGTGGACAGAGAGGACACTCAGCGGGGCTCCGACCCCTGCGTGCACCTTCGCCCTCTATCCCTGCTGGCCTGTCTGGCGGCTTAGCCCAGGGCAGCGCGGGACAGGCCTGTGGACACTCCCCCTGCCAGCACCTTGCCCCACGGCCCGCGGAAGCTTCTAGCAACGGGAGTGGACCTTCCCGCCGGTCCCCTGGGGCCTCTCGCCTGCGAGGTCAGCTAACTCAGGGAAAAGGGGGGAAGCTCAGAGAGGGCAATGGACTTGCCCAAGGCCACACGGCAAATTACCGGCGGAGCCGGGGCTTGAACCTAAGATGCAGTGCCGGGTGGGGACTCTCCCACCGAACGTGAGGGTAAAAGGTCAGTGTGACTTCGCCAAGGTCTTGGGAATGGGCAGGGGATACACCGGAGGTCACAGTCTGAAGACCAACTCTGCTGGCCTCCAACAACAAACTCCTGCCTTGGGGGGTGAAACCCACTCAAAGGACTCCAGTGCAGAGAAATCAGGCAGGCCTGGGCTCTGGGCAGCATCTGACCCAGACAGACGTTCAAGGGAAGGGAGGCTGCATCACATCAGGGAAGGCTTTCCAGGAGAAGGGCAGCTAGGAGGCATTCTGGGCAAGGGAAGAGCAAGGACAAAGGTGCACAGGACTTGGAGGGGACCTCTCAGAAGGGCGTGGGGTGGCTGCAACATAGGGAGGATGGAAGAAACTCCTGTAGACTGACAGCTGGGTCCTGAGTCTCAGATTTGGCAAGTGACTGGCTACAGCTGCCCAGTTACTCTGTGGCCAAGCCAAGTTTCACAGTCCAGTGCCCACCCCGCAGTGTCCCCACCCTGGGCGTGAGCCTTCTGAGGCAGCTAGCTCCATCTCTGCACAGCCGCGGGAAACCAGTCTCAGATGCTCGCTGAGCCACAGGGTCAGGAGCAAGCACTCCTGGGCCCTGTTCTGAAAGGGGCCTCTGCCCTCCCAGAGCCCGTGTTCACGCCTGTTTTGCATCGGTTGCTTATGATCACACATGGTTTCCAGATATGAACGCCCCTTCTGTCCTCAAGTTCAGGACTGGTCTGGGTACACCAAAGGTGCCCAAGGCATATACTCTGTGGCACCCAACTCGAGACCAGCTAAGTGGCAGGGAGGCCCTGCGTTGCCTCAGGGGAGTGCGGTCTCTGGGTTAGATGGGAATCACACTGAACACAGGTGTGTCTCACTTAAAGCAAAAAGAATTTGGATGGCCACCTGCCTGGGTACCTGTAGCAGGGTTTTTCCCACAGGGGAGGGCCTGGATTTCTGCAAGTCAGTGGCTTGACACTCCATCCCTTCCCAGTAGTGCCTCCAGAAACCTGACCCACCCTCAGCTCAGGGCCAGGACAGGTGGTGAGCATGAACTTAGGGCCTCAGTCTGAGCTATGACCTGGCCTACCAGTTCTGGCCCATGCTGCCAGCACTTACACCCTCACGAGCTTGATGGGGCTGGCCTGGAGGGCTAGGATGTCAGCCTAGCCTGAAGCTCCTTCAGTCTGCTGAAGCTCCTTGTAAGCTGCCTCCCTCAGGGGCACGCACGGGAGTGGGTGGGGGGAGCTCCTCGTGACCAGGATGGGTGTGTGCTTCCTGCCTCTAATGTGAGAATGCAGAGTAAATGGATTTTTGGGACGCTTTGGGGGCCAAACACAGGTCACTGTTTTCAGCCCCCCTCCTGTGAGTAGGCTCTGTGCTAGGGGTTCACTTCATCCTCGAGTCTATGCTTATAATTCTCCTCATTTTATAGGTGAGAACACTGAGGCTCAAAGATATTAAATGACTCATCTGCAATTACACAGCCAGTATATGACTAAGTCGACCCTCTCTGGTCTTGGTCTTTCCACTAAAGCAGGGAGAGCTGGAAAATAAGCTCTCAAAGGTCTAACAGTAACAGCACAAAAATGGGAAAGAGGGAGTAGTTATAAGCAATTTAGTTTTCACTGGAATGAATGTATGTAAATATGAAGGGGATTGTGATATGTTAGAGGTATATAAAAAAGGCCTAGAACAATCTCTAAGGAAATAACTCAGTGAAAAAATCATTAAAGGAATTAAAATACTATAGAGAAAACAGTCACTATAATGTAGTCAGTATATTCACCATATTCACTATAATATAGTATAGAAGACAAAAAGTAAAATAGCAGACACAAATCCACATACGTCAAGGATAACACCAGAGGCACACTGATAAGGCAATCCAGTCAAAAGGCAGAGATTGTCCAACTGGATAAAATACCAGATCCAACTATGTATTGTGTATAGGAGCCTCAATGGGAACCGAAGACACAATAGGTTAAATGTAAAAGGATACAAAGAAGATATAGCTGCAAACAGCAACCAGAAGAAAGATGGAGTGACTATATTCGTATTACAATTCTAAGAATAGACTTTAAAACAAAAAATATGCTAGAGGTAAGAGGGGTATCTTATAATGATGAAAGGGTCAGTCCATCAGGAGGTGCTAACAGTTATAAACATACACGCAACTAAGAACAGCGTCCCAAAATATGGTCCCAAAGGGTGACCAATTGAAGGGTGGCGTAGACAATACAGTAACAGATGGGGACTTCAGTACTCCATTTTCAATAAGGCATAGAATTTGGTCTCGTCTGCTTTATGACTGATTTATAAGTGCTTCTGATGAAGTACCAGCTTCTCCTTTTGATGACTTTGGCTGTCAGCTGCCCTAAGCTGAGCTTTCCATTTTTCTTCAAGACCCACAGATGAAAGTGAGGCTCCCCTCCATCTCTTTCTCCCCAGAACAAGGCATCAATTTAAATTACCTTGTCTGTCTGCAACTTGGGATAAATCTGGCGAATATCTAGTATGCCTGCCACCATTTCCCTAGGTCTATGCTGGTGGTTAACATACTGACAAAGGCTCTCCATCCTGTGTGGCCCAGAGAAAGCCTCAGTCTCCTTTTCAACACAGCACTCCACACAGTGATTCCACCTGGTTGTGAAGTAAAGCTTTTGACTGCAGCTCATCTAGTGTGGCCACCACCCACATGCTGCCATTCCTGAGCCAATGCTCAGGGCTTTGGTTTAGACTAGAGCTGAGCTGGTGGTCACTCTGCCACCAGAGCCTCTGAAATAAAGTAAAGGCTAGTCAGATTTAGTTTTGCCAGGGGCCTCCCTGGTGTCACAGGGAGCGCTGGGTTGCGAAGCTGCCCGCAGCCTCTGCAGTGCTGGTTCGATCCCCGGCTGCCAGGTGAGGGTCCCGCATGGCGCGCAGACCTCTCCTGCCGCCCGCTGCTCCCCTCAGCAGTGTACTTCGGTCCTTCTGCCTGCTCTGCTCCCCGCTCTGGCTCTGGGGAATTCTCTCACCCTCCCGCACCTCTGATTGTACCCAGTGCTTGTATAAATAAATAAATAAATAAATCTTTAAAAAAAAGAAAGATTTAGTTTTGCCAGATTTATCCTAAGTTGAAGATAGGACAATTTAAATTGTTGTCTTTTTCTGGGGAGAAAGAGCTGGAGGGGAGTCTCACTTTTATCTATGGGTCTTGAGAAATGGATACCCAGGTGGCCTCCCGCCTTTGAAGGCAAGGGCAGGACGTGGGAGTGTCAAAGACATCAGCCCTCTTGGGGGCCATACCGCTGTGTAGGGGGTTGCAACTGCTGCCAGGGTCTGGACTGGTCTGTTCAGTATGTACCAGCTGCCGCCATGGTTTGGGACACGCTGGTCACCCGACAATTCAAGGCACATGCGCCAAAGGCCAGGCTGCAGGTGTCAGGGTGAAACCTTGGCTGTGCGTGTGACGCCTGCCCCCACGCAGCCCAGGTACCAGGCCTGTGGGGTCGCCTTGAAGACGCTCCTCTCTCCACCCGCCTCACCTTCCTGCCAGCGCCAGGCTCATTACCAGCTCGGCGGCACCCGTGCCTGCAAATGGAGCCAGTTGGCGCAGGCGGAAGCCTGCACGGCTGCCGGGAAATTAATCTTCTAGTCACCGCGACCGGCAAAGGCAGGCGCCGCTTTAAATTACGAGGGAAACGCTTCCAATTTCCAAAGGCAGGGCCTGTTTTATCAATAAGATAAATGGGACTGCAGAGAAGTAACATGCCGGCCGCCCCCCTGGCCCCCCAGCGCCCTGTCCCCTGCACCACTGCGACAAGGACAGAGGAGCCCAAGCAGCTTCTGCAAAGGATCAAACAAATGTGACTCTGCCCTCAGAAGTCGCCCTCCGTCCACACACCAGCGTCACAGCTGCGACCCTCTCCTGAAGCCCGTGCGGCGAGCGCTGGGCTTGGCACTTTCCGCGTACCCGATGATCTCATTTAATTCTGAGGATGGCTGTGAGGGGATCCACAAGTAACAGGTGGGGAAACTATGCCTCAGCGAGGTTAAGGTGCTCCCCAGGGTCATGGAGCCCACAGAGTGGGACCCAGGTCCCCGGGCAGCTGAACCCTGTGCTTTCCTGGCAAGATGGCCTTCTGTGGGAACCAGGCAGCGTGTCCCGGGGCTCATGCTTCTTGGATCTTGCTGAAGTTCAGCTCTCTTGCCCCTAAACAATGCCGTGCTCCTTCTGGGTTCCCGTCTATGCAGGGCACGCAGGCCCTGGCCCGGGCTTGTTCAGGGTGGAGAGGCATCAGCGGGGCCCCCGTTCTGCGTCGCTGCTGTCATCTGTTCTAGGGATGTTGTTGGGGGTGTGGGCAGGGAAGGGGCGCTGGGGCGGCTTCTCTGAAGAACAGTGATAACAGGAAGGCGGCGCTCTGAGCATCTGCCTGCATCAGGCTCTACCCCCTCCACATGCACCGTGACCTCACCCGCAGCCTGAGGGGGGTGTATTGTCCTGTCCCCATTTTACAGATGGGGAGGTTGAGGCATGGAGCTAGTTGGAGCTGTGGAGCCAGAACTTAGATCTAGTTCTATGCACTTCCCGAGCCTGCACTGCCCACTCTGCGTCCATGTGGCCTGAGGGCCCCTGGAGCACAGGACCTGCGTCCCTTCATCACTGGGTCTTCCCAAGACCCGCA